AAGGCATTGCCTCTATTGTACTATGATGACATGAACCTGGCATAACCAACCATCCTAGCTGGCCCAGCATCCCAGAGAGGTTTTCCGAGATGCAGAAATCTCAGGACAGTTCCAGGCAAGTCAGGGTAAGTTGGTTGCCTTCCATGAAAAACAAAATCCATCAAGTCCTTCAGTGTAGCTTTCCTGTGCCTGGCCTTGGGGAGAGAGGCAGAAATCAGAGCCATAAAAGTGGGAGGTAGACCAGAGATTCACCCCACCTGCACACAATCTTCCCCGGCAGGGAAAAAGAACCAGTTCCTGGAGGAACAGACCATTCCATCAAGGTGACACTTGCTGAGTCAGCTAGCTGCTCCTGAGGGGAAACAGTGGAAACCTCTGGAAGCCAGGGAAGCAGGCTCTCATAGGCTCCTTAACTGCTAAGAGCAGCTGTGCTGGGAGAGAGCAGGCTTTTTCTGGAACAGCGGAAAAGCAGAAAACTAGGGATTGCCTCCAAATCTGAGACTTCTGCCCAGCGCCCTCAGAGGTCAGTTGGCCAGAACCCAATGTTTATAGCAATGCAGGCTGACATCCTTAAACACGTGTCCAACCACCGGAAGATGGGGGCTTATGGTGCATTTGCACGCAGGAATTCTACCCAGCACTGAAAAGAAATGAACCACGTTTCGCATGCATGAAGCTCAGAAAAAACGACGATGAGTTAAAAAAAAAAAAAAAAAGGAATAAAGGTGCAGAAGAAAATACAGGGTGACTCTATTCGACTAAAGTCAGAAATATGCAAATAAATCATACGCCATTTGGAGTAGGCACAGAGCAGTTAAAACCACAAAGAAAAGCGTGTGAATGAACAATTCAAAACACAGGACAGAGTTCCCCTTCTGGGGACAGGGGATAAAACCGGAAGGGGCAGGGGGGCTGGAGACCAGGACCCCCGCCTGTGCCTCGGGGCCAGTGGTGGGCCCACAGACAGACAGTGCCTATTTATTATTTACACCTCGATGTCTATGCATATTTCATGACGCAAGCCAGGAACCAAAAGTCAAGGCAAGATGCTAACATGGATAGACAGGGAGAGAAGGGAGGGAGAACCGGGCAGAGAGGAGCTGCCGACGTGATCTCCCAGCCAGGGGGGCACCCCCAGCCCGCCGATGGGGGTGCCTCCCAGTCCCACAAGATGCTTTGTCCTCCTGTCCCGCAGAGGGGGCCATCTCTGAGTCTGACGCCCCACCAGAGCACGGCGTAGGCCAACACATCTGCCTCCTGCCCGGGGCTCCCATGGCGTGACCCTGGGGCTCTCCCTGGGGCTGAACTGGGCTGGACAGGGGTGCTGGCCCAGCTGCTGGTGGGAAATGTCCATCAGGGCACCAGCCAACTCAGCCTGGGGGGACCTGGCCTGGCCCTACCTTCCCTCCTTCCTCATTCCCACCTACCAGCCTCAGAATGGGGGTCCCTGCTGCTCTCCCTCCACTTGGGTGCGGTGGGGACAGAGCCGAAACCCAAGGTCCTCAGGGGCCATGCCTTTTCTCTCCACCAGGGGGTATGGGGCATGCAGAAACGCCATCCTGTCCCCTTTGGCCAAACCCTAATCTGTGCCGCTCTCCATTTGCCCCAGGAGGGACGCCCTAGAAGCCCACTCAGCCTGCAGGTGCACGCGGCAGGAGAGCACCACGGGCCTGTCTTCTCTCTCCCTCGGTCTACACAGACCATCCTGACGGGTGCTTTATGGGACCCCCTGGAGGCTGGTCCTGGGAGCTGGGCTGTGCATCCTGCCTCGGGGGACTCCTCCCCACTCCCCAAGAAACCGAGATCCTGCCGGTCCGGCTCTGCTTCCCTGTGATGCTGGGCTGAGCTCTCCAGGACACCCCCAGAGCCCATGGTGCCCCACTCCTCCACACCCACCCTGGGATCTAGCCGCTCTGCTGCTCTGCAACGGACCCAACTCCAGCACATTTGTTCGGTTCTACGGAGCACTGCGCGAAAATGCTGTGAAATCAGGTCCTGGCACTAATATCACGCTCTGCCCATCCGTCTGCTTTTATGTCCAGCGCAGAGGGGAAAGGAGAGGAACCAGGGCAGGCGGGGGCGGGGGGGGAGGGCTGGGGCCACGGTTGGAGTTTCCAGTCCAGGGAATGGGGAGGGAGGAGGCGCAGAGGGAGGCCACGTGGCCCAGCAGTGCGGGGGTGGGGGGGCAGAGAGCACGTGTGAAAGGACGGGGCTCCCAGACTCCTGCCCGGGCTGGTGCATCTTTGGGCCTGGGCCTGCTGGTCTCACTAATGCCACCAGCAGAGAGCAGCTTCTCTGGGGCCAGAGGAGGAGGGAAAGGGGAGAAGGGTGAGGAGGAAGGGAAGAGGGGGAGCGGGGGAGACGTGGAAGAATGATAGAAGAAGAGGGAAGACAGGAGGGGAAGCAGGAGGGAAGGGAGGAGGGGCAGGGAGGGAATTAAGGAGGGGAGGGGAGAAGAGGGAAGGGAGGAAGGGAGAGGGGAAGGAGGGGAAGAGCCATCCATGGGCCAAGGCCAGACCCTTTCCCTCTGACAGCTGCTCTGAAGGGGGTCCATGGGTCCCAGAACCCCAGCCAACCTCCCCTCCCTCACCAGCTCCACTCCGAGGTCTCTGGACTATGAAACCCTCAAACACGAGTCTTCCCACACCACCCCCAAACCCCCGCCATGCGCACGGGTGCGCAGGAGAACAGGCACATACGGCCCCAGCCACCCTACTCCCACCCCTCGTCCCACCGACAGGGCTTCCTCCCCGCAGCTCCCTCGGCCTCTCAGGGGTCGGGTCGAAGGGAGACTCTTCCATGCCAGCGGCTCCTCCTGCCCCCCCAGGAGGCCTGATGGGGGAGGAATGAGGACGGGAGCACAGGGATAGGAGCAGGCAGCACAGCCCGGTCAGGCGGCAGAGCTCAGCGGCAGGCAGGGCTCCGGGGTCACCGGGAGGAGACCAAGCCCCGGGCACCGCCGGACGCGTGCTGCCCACCTCGCAGAGAGGGTGTCCCCTCCAGGAGAGGGTGTCGGGCAGCTGGGATGAGGCCATCTCCAGCTGACCACCCCCCGACTGGTGTCGCTTATTTTAAGTAAGCACAACTCCGGCCAGCACGACCATCTGCATTGTTTGTCTGACTCAAAGGGAGAAAAAAGCAGCCGGACGAGGCGGGAGGCGGGTGCCAGGAGTGGAAACCGGCCGAACCCACCCGGAGCTCAGGACCAGCCGCTGCCTTGCCCTAAATGTAACCAGCTGGAAATCTTTTTTAAGTCCCATCCTACTGAACCTTTTGAAATAAAGATTTGCCTTTTACTGGGAGATGTGCATTTCATTGTGAAGAGCGAGCTGAGCAGACTCCCGGCTTTGACTGCAAACCCAGGGAAGCTCCTGGCGTGGGCACCCCCCAGCGCTGCCCCTGGGCTGAGGGGCTGGTTCCCAGCCGGTGGGCACACAGGCTTCCTGGAAGCCAGCAGGAGACCGAGAGAGCCAACCGTGACAGAAAGGTGCCCCACCAAGAAAATAAATAAGACGTTCTTGCTCCTGCGGGACAGGCCCCGCGATCACGGGAGCCCACAGCCGGGCTCCCAACCCTCCACTGCATCTCGGGCCTGAGAGCAGGGCCCTCCTCGTGGGCTGTGTGTGAGGCGCAGCTGGACAGCCACGGACTGTGGCCCCACAGTAAACAGGAAACGTGCTCTCCGTGGGGATGGCGGTCACCAAAGCACATGGAAGTAGAGGTCACAAGCACGCAAGAAACACCGCATTCGACTCCGTGAGCCTGTGTGAGAGGCCAGCTGTGGGGAGCAGAGCCCGGCCCTCCCCGACCTCATGATCTCCGTGGAGATCCCCGACAGAAAGGGGGACCCAGTGCGGGGCAACTCCAGGCCCAGATGACACAGGGCAGAGGTGCAGAGAAGGGAGAGGGAATGTAGGGCTAAGAGCCCCTGGGCCCTGGCCTGGCCGGCTCCTGCCTGGGAGGGGGCCTGCTGAGCTCCCCACCCCACCACGATGCCGTGACGGCGTCAGGATAGAAACCAAACCCCCGAAGCCTTCTTCCCCAAGGAGGCAAACGGGTCCTCACTGACCGCCGGCCACCTGTTTTCTGAGCTAGCTTGCCTAACTGATTCCTCGTCCTGTTGCCAAAAGAGCACTTTTTCATCCTTTTCACCATTTTTATCTCAACGGCCATGCGAGCCAGCCGCCAGGGGACGGATCGGCTGAGTTAGCGTCCTTTGTTCTGGGCCTGTACGGACGTACGACCTGGATGTGGCCGCACCGGCCTGGCCCTGTAGGGGGGTGACAAGAGCCAGCCCTCCTGCCCCAGGTCCAGGGGCCACGTCTACCCCTCCACTCCCTGGGCCCAGCTCAGTGGGACCGGGATGCGCCGTCCGCGTGAGCCGGGATGTCAGCCCACTGAAAACGAGCTAGAGGAAAGCCCGTCTCTCCCTTGGAAGCGAGTTTATGGGTCAGGCCATCATGGCTCCACCAGGGCCCAGACAAAATGTAGAAAATTCAGGCTGCAATGTCGTCCACACCCACACGCTGTCCCCAACAGTGGGACAATGCTGTCACCCGTCTGCCGGTCCCACGGTCCCCCAGGGTTTGTGGAGAGAGCGGGCAAAGGGGGAGGAGCCGGCCTCTGGCTGTCCACCTGACTCCTAACTCCCACCCATCGCCTCGTCTCCTCTCTCCCTGCTCTGAACTCCCAGGACGGCCCTAACGTGCCAGGAGAAAGCGGGGCTCTGTGAGCGCATCACAGGGAGACAGAGCCCTCCGGGCTGATGACAACCCCCCCCCCCCGACAACATACTGATCGTTCCGGGAGCTTCCTGCTTCCTGAGTGTGACGGGCCCAGGGGCAGAAGGACAATGGGGGAAAATGGACCCATCAACCCACACTATTCTCGACATGCGTGCCGCTACGTTGCCCACAGAATCCATCCTCCGTCCATTCAAAGACAAGGGAGCCACGGAGCCACGTTCCTGAGGAAGTGGAGACGCTGCTTCACTTTGCCCCAGGGGCCTGCACACGCGGAGGTGGGCACGGCCCTGCTGGCATCCCCGGGTTGGGGTTCCACGGGCTGCTGTCCCCAGGGTGGCCAGCGTGTGGTTTCATCAGAGGCTCGCCTGGGGAAGGAGCCACTTCCTAGTTCCCACTGGCCATCAGTGTAACTCCCTTCCTTGCGGTCACAGTCCCTCACGTCCTGTGGG